TGGTGTCACTGGGAGCACTGGGATGGACTGCACTGGGTTCTCGTGAGCCGGGGTCAGCCTGAGGCACGTTACTGGTGTTACTGGGAGCACTGGGACGTGCTGTGGTGCATTAATGCTGTCACTGGGAGCACTGGGATGGACTGCACTGGGTTCTCGTGAGCCAGGGGTCAGCCTGAGGCACATTACTGGTGTTACTGGGAGCACTGGGATGGACTGCACTGGGTTCTCGTGAGCCGGGGTCAGCCTGAGGCACGTTACTGGTGTCACTGGGAGCACTGGGATGGACTGCACTGGGTTCTCATGAGCCAGGGGTCAGCCTGAGGCACGTTACTGGTGTCACTGGGAGCACTGGGAGCCCTTCCCGCTCGGTTGTTTGGTTTCCATGGCGACTCCCCAAACACGGGCGGGGGCGGCTCCCCTGGGGGGGGCGGGGAGGGCGTGGCCCCGGCCCCGCCCCCGGCCCCGCCCCCCTTGGGCCACCCCGCCCGACCCAGAGCGAGAAGGCGGCGGGACCGGCCGGAGGTGCTGGGGCAGCTGGGGGGACTGGGGGGTCGCTGGGGGGCACAGGGGGGTCTGGGGGAACTGGGGTCACTGGGGGGGGACTGGGCGGAGCTTGGGAGAGCTGGGCAGGACTGGGTCACTGAGAGAATTGGGGGAAACTGGGGGGGGAACTGGGGTCACTGGGAGGGACTGGGAGCATTGGGAGAGCTGAGAGGGACTGGGAGGGACTGGGAGGGATGGGGGGGAACTGGAGGCACTGCGGGAACAGGGGGAGCTTGGGGAAGTGGGGGGACTGGGAAGGTACTGGGGGGAATTAGGGGGCACTGCGGGAGACTGGAGGAATTGGATTGCACCGGGGGGAATGGGGGGCACCAGGCAGCTCTGGAGGAATGTGGGGATTGGGGGACTGGGAATCACTGGGAATTACTGAGGGGGTCACTGGGGGTGACTGAAGAGTCACTAGGGGTTACTGGGAGGTGCTGTGGTTTGGGGTGTCTGTGTGTCTCCGGGAATTGTCCCCCAGGTGTCCCTCATGTCCCCCACATCCGTGCCCGTGTTGCTATGTGCCCCCCTCGTGTGTGTCCCTGTGTCCCTCAGGTGTCTCCAGAGGTGTTCCTGTGTCCCCTACTGGTGCGTGTGTATCCCTGAGGATGTCCCCAGTGGTGTCCCCACTGTGTCTGGGGGGTGCCACCCTACAGGTGTCTCTCTTCCCCGTCTGTGTCACTGGGGTGTCCTCCAAGATGTCCCTGTCCCCCTGCATCCCCCCTGGGTGTTCCCTGTGCCTCGTGTGTGCCCCTTGTGTGTCCCCAGGGTGTCTCCACATCCTCCCCGTGGGTTATTTCCCTTGGACGTTCCCATGGCTATGTCCCGATGTCCTTTATTCCCTTTATTCGTGCCTGTGTGTCCCCGTGGATGTCCCCGTGGATGTCCCCGTGATTGTCCCTGCATCCTCACGCCTGTGCCTGTGTGCCCTAGCTGCCCCCACAGGTGTCCCTGTGTCCCCCCAGCGTGTGCCTGTGTCCCCCCATGGGTGTCCCCACAGTTGTCCCTGTGTCTCTCCATGTCCGTGTTCCCTCGTGGTTGCCTCTGGGTGTCCCCATGTCCCCCTGCTTTCCCCCAGGACGATGCCGGTGACCCTGGAACTGCGGCTCCTGCTGCTGGCACTGGCGCTGCGGGGGGAGGCAGTGTCCCCCTCCGTGTCCCCTGCCACGTCCCCCCCCGAGTCCCCCTCCTCCTCCGAGACGTGCGGGGCAGCGCTGGCCGATGTGCTGAGGCGGCTGCGGGAGCTCGAGGGACACGTGCAGGCACTGAGGGGACACTGCGGGGACACGGGGGGACCCCAGGCCGGGACAGGTAACAGGGGACAAGGGGAAGAACACGGGGGAGCCCAGGCTGGGACAGGGGAACACAGGGAGGGCAGGGGGACACAGGGGACATGGGGGAACATGGGGCTCATAGGGACAGGGAGGGGACATGGCAGAACCCCAGGCTGGGACAGGTGGCAGAGGTTAGGGACATGGAGGGGACACAGGAGAATGAAGAAGAGGGGGGACATAGCAGGTTATTGGGGGGGGGTCACTGGGGAGTCATT